GGGGGCGTTTTATGCATCTTGAAAAGTTGCGCCTGAATTTTGTAAGTTCCTCGTTTGTAATCCGTGTCAATCTTCTCCATCCTTGACCATCCTTGGTCCTTTATGGTTCATTATTACCTCTTTGGTGTTTTTCTATCTTACTAAACTACTATTTTAGATTTTCTTCAATTTAAAAGGCAAGTTTGCAAGTAGCCAAAATCACTCAAAATACCGAGACTGAGCTTCTTTAATGCTTTAATGTAAGTACTTTTCCTGTAATTCAATCAATCCTGATATTGATCAGTTTATAACTCGATTCCATTTTTTAGATATGAAAAAAATTTGCGCTATCATTTTGCAGATGCCATCAGTGATTTGTACTTTTTTTCCTTACATTTTAATAACTAGACTATAAAAAAATATAACATTAAACTAAAATTGCTGATCACATATGTAAGCCCGTTAATGTCTCTGTTAGGCCTCCTTTCAATTATTTTCCAATAGTATTTGTTTAATATTTTTTTCTGGGAAAAAAGTATATAGTTATGCCTTTTTTACATGTTTCCAGTTCAATAACTTTCTTGTGGGTTTCAAAACACATAAAAAAATTTTTAACATTATGATCTATTCTAATAAAATGTAATTAGTTTTGATGCTGACTTTCAATTTAAATAAAACTTTACTATTTTCCTTGTTTATTAATTTAACTATCTATGTTGTGTATTAACCATCTTTTTTTTTTGTTTTTGTTTTTTTCTGGCGAATATTTTCCTCCTCGACTCGCGTGGAAAACTTGCTTAAGGGCTATGAGCGCTGATTAGATATTCTGCGCCCCAGTCATCTCTACGGTTTTAGAATAACATAATCTCCAGGGTTCATCCATTTATTGTACTTCATTTGTAATTTCTTCCTGTCTGGTGTTTCTATTTCAACCTGGAGGACAACATAACACAGTGAGTATTTAAAATGTAAGAGATATAAGGGTATCTTGAGAAAGAAGGAACTTGAATGCATCCGATAAGGTTTCTGAAACCGTGACAAACTGTGACAATCGTAAGTCTCAAGTCTCAAGTGTGTGTCTCCTAATTTCTCTTGTAAGCCGTTATTCATGTCAGAATAGCAAATTACTAGTACGCTTTGGTAAAACTTGCTGATTCCTATAAAATACATGATTTGGAGCTTTTTATCGCGCTTTTTTCCGGCCGTAATGTTGTAGAGATTTGGGTTCTGGACAGGCTCGGAAATTATTTTGTGTTCTTAGGCGAGATATGCAAATCTCGCCGCTCCTTTCATCACCCGGGAGTAAGGTGGATACGGATAAAAGGTTAGGAAAGCCTGAAAATTGGGGCTAGAACAAAATCATCGACGAATCGGGGAGTGGGGCGAGGGAGGGAACATCACTAGCACTCCGACTCAGTCGATTTTTAGCTCTCGCCCCAATTTTCGCGCGACCAGATTTCTCCTTCACCAATGTCTACTTCTTCGAGAATACTTCGGCTAGCGCCAGCTTCGAATTCGTTGGCAGTAGCCTAGTTCAATTTTTATACACAGTTAGAAAACAATCCGATTACTAGATTATTGATGCTGTTATGGAAGCTAGTCCCCCAAGGGGAAAAAGCAAAAAAACCCAATGAATTATTAAACAAAACGTTACTCACTTTGTTTAACTTCCATCCATTAGGCTTCCACCAGTTATACCAGGTGGAGTCAGCCAGCCTGACACGAATCGTCTTAAGCTTCCCAATATAGGGGGAAATTACTGGAAATGTTTGACTACTAAAAGCAAAGGAAAAAGGGGATTCAGTGATAAGTAAAGAGAACTTCACCGGACCGTCATGTAAACAGACTGAGCGTCGCGAAAGCTTAACGATCGATTGACGAAGATTAACCTTGACAAGGTAATGGAATCGTGATACTCAGAGTCTGATCACATCGCAATCTGTTCCTGGCATTGTTGCTTCATAAGCGAAGCAGTCCTTAACCAGACCATTTAAGTCTGAACGGGAGCACTTATGGTGACGCGAAAAGCAACAAAAAATGTTTATTTTAGTGGCAAACACGTGCAAGTTATGACATCTTATCATGCCAAACGACGTAATGTATTTCATCCCTCCACAACGTGGCAAATCATCTGGCGTCAGCTTAATAGTCTAAAATTTCAGGCGAGATATGACTTGAGAATTTAATCCAACTTTAAGTTTGTTGTATTGCATGCAAAGTAACAATAATGTTGTCTTACCTTCCTCGTTCAAATGGATCTGGGACTTTGTCAGTAGATTCCAATTCTACCTCGCCCGAGTCCCCAGCTGTGCCAGCAAGGAGTATATCAACTTTAAGGTCTGTTCCGGCATAGCGCACATCAGAAGTGTATACAGTCACAAAATATAGCACCACTATTGGACAAATAATTTGTAAAAAAAAAAAGCTGTTAGTACTATAAAAGATTTCCAGATCGGGAGGACACAATATGAGTCGGACATCGCACTGTAACTTCTTTGCATAAGCAATGATTTGAACTGTTTTTGAAGAGGTGAAGAACCATTTGAACGTTTAGAATCAAATCTCGGGGTCGCAATCGGATTGTTTTTCCATCTCTTTCATTATACGGATAGAGCTACCAATGACAGGCTAGACGGATGGACAGCGCGAGATTTACTGTACATATACATTAAAACGTTTTTTCTTTGGCAAGAAAAAAAAAACCGATTTGAAAAACTACGGTGCAAGAGAAGTTTCCAGGCGACCGACCGGGACGGCGACCAAATTAGTCTTCATGCTTCCTGCGATCCTCAACTTCCGCCCAGCAGAAAAGATGACCTGGGGAGAGGACGCCTTAAAAAGAGGCAGTAGAGAAGTCATTTATTTGTTATAAAGAGACAGTCATAAGACTGTATACTTACAATTTTCTCTCAATTCAGGACATCTATAAAGAATGTTTATCCTGACAACATCTAAAGCTGAAAATCCTTCGCCCTGCCCAAGACGCATTGTGGGATCGATGCGCGCTTCTAACGTATTTTGACCGTTTTTGCTGAAGAACTTGTTGCTGTAATGCATGATCGAGTGGAAGTCATACGGTAAATTGCCGTTATCTTGGCGATACGTCTTAAATTCGGATATCTTATCTGAAAAAGGCAACATAAATCGAGGTAATACATGAGTTTAATTTAATCTTGTGAATAAGAAGATTTATATCATAAATTTGGCCAGCCAGGCTCGCCTTATGATTAAGCCTGAGAGTTACAAGCGTCAATCAGAGCCGTATATCAGATAGCGTTAAAAATGTAAAAATGTTATTAAAGGTTGAATGTTTACAATGCGCAATGCACTTAGCTACACTCAGCCAGTTCTCAGGCATGCCACTTAAACTGAAAGAAACAAATATCTCAATTAAACAAAATATATGGGCTTAAAAATCCCAATTTGCAGGAGTCAGACCAGTCAGCTATTTACAAGTATGACCGAGGAGTTGAACAAGGGTCTACCAAGAAACAACTCCAACTTAGTGGTCAGAGCGGGACTTGAACCCGCGAACTCCGTATTTCAAATCATGCGCCCCAACCACTCGGCCACAAGTATACTGCCGCCTAAGTTGAAATAGCCTGTTCAAAATGAACTTTCATTGTCCCTCCTGTGATATTATATTTATTCAGAGAATGTACTCACTAACCTTCTAGGATGTTTTCACTTAAAACAATAATGTGTTGATCTCTGTCCAGTCGACTCTGCTCGTGTAAAAAACCAATTGAGTGCATAAGTTCATGGATAGCTCTCCCTCTTGTCTCGCATCCTTTGCCCAGAGAAACTTGCTGTTTGCCGCCGCGCCGTCCGATTTGAGACCAACATCTGGGAGAGAATGGAGGAAACCTGATTAGAACAAGACTAGTTGTCTTGGTTTAGGTGAAAAGGCATACTCGGTGGCCTCATGGTTAGTGCGCTCAACTCCGGAGTGAGCTGTCCGGGTTCGAGCCCTGGCCGGGGACATTGTGTTGTGTTCTTGGGTAAGACACTACTCTCACAGTGCCTCTCTCCACCCAGGTGTATAAATGGGTACCGGCGAATTTAATGCTGGGGGTAACCTTGCAATGGACTAGCATCCCATCCAGGGGGGAGCAGAAATACTCCTGGTCGCTTCATGCTGCTGAAATCGAGATAAACTCCGGCCTGATGAGCCACTTGGCAGGGATGAATCTACCAAATAGCCAAGTAGGCTACAGAAGTTCACAACTAGTGACTGACCTCGATCTTTTAAATACTGATTAGCTAGCGTTTTAATTCATTCGTTGGTTGGTTGGTTGTCGGGTTCTTTAGTTCGTTGGTTTGCTCAGTTGATCCGTTGGTTTGTTCGTTCGTTCTTGTCGGCTTCTTTGGATCGTTAGTTATAGTTTGTCATTTGTTTGGTTTGTCCTTTGGTTCGTTCGTCGGTTCGTTCGTTCGTTGGCTCGTTCGTTCGTTCGTTCGTCGGTTCGATCGTTGGTTGCTTTTTTCGTTCGCTCGATCGTTTGTTCGTTCGTTCGTTCGTTCGCTCGTTCTTTCGTTCGTTGGTTGGTTGCTTGCTTGCTTTTTCTCGTCCGCTCGATCGTTCGTTCGTTCGCTCGTTCGTTCGCTCGTTCGTTCTTTCGTTCGTTCGCTGGCTCGTTCGTTGGCTGTTTGGTTGGCTGCTTGCTTTTTTTGTTCGTTCGATCGTTCGCTCGTTCGTTCGTTCATTGGTTGTTTGGTTAGTTGTTTTTTTCATACGCTCGATCGTTCGTTCGTTCTTACATCGGTTTCTTCATTTTAATACTCCATCATGCGTTCTCAATCTTTCGTTCGTTGCCACGTTCGTAAGTTTGATTATGATTAAGTTTCATTATTTTTTTTTTACACCCATGTTCCCCCGTAGACTGATGACTCTCAGCTGATTACTTACCCTGAACCCTGAATAATTTCTACGTAGTCTGTGTCTTTGCGCGTTTTCTTCTCAAATCTGATGCATGTCCTCTTGTGAAATTGGTCTACGGCTTTTTTAAAGGCCTTGACAACTTTTCCGGTACCTAGAATCACAAAATTATATCCCATTACGGACTCAGCCTGCTTTACTTGGTGAAGAGACCTCTCCTAACAAGTAGCTACATGACTGAAGTATTTATTACAAGTCTCCTCTTTATCCCCCTTACCCCCTTACCCCAGCCCCCCTCCCCTACTCCCCAGGGTTTTACCAGATTGTTAGCTACCCGTGGTACCGTCCTTTTCTGCGCACAACAAAATGCAACGGGGTTCCCGTCCAACAATCTCCTGCTATATTAGCATAATCAAGGCTGTAAAACTGACGAAGGCGTAATATAAATCACGTTTTGTATGATGTGTTTTCTCTTACCAAAAAAACTACTGAAGAATCCAGTGTCCAAGGTGTATGGGACTCGCACAATTCTTCTGTGATCCGAGTTCGCTCCAGGCCAGTAGAAACTGTGCGATTTAAATCTTCTCAAGATAGCACCACGTTTCCTGATTTTGCTTGTATTGTTGACAAACGACTCGTCCACCATCATATCGCCCTCGATAACAACTAAACAAATTGCTGATTAGTACATGTAGACAACACGCGAGTTAAACTATGATTCTCTTTCAAGTCATGTTGGAATTTATATAACATGATACCAGGTGAAAACTGCAGCACGCAAATTACCACGCGGTCTTAGCGTTCCTCGCGCGACGCGTGACGCTGGCCTCTTGCACTCGTGTTTTCACGCGGAAGGGAAATGAAAAGAAAAAATGGCGCATTCTCGTCCCCTGTCCCTGCACAGGAGGTTAGTGCTCTTTTATTGCCAGTAATTAACTGACCGCCCACACTCCTCCCACCGAAATAAACGCAGCAACGTGCTCGTTCCAGAATACAATACAGTTTTTTTTTTAATAAATTATGTATATTGTTGAACCATCTTCTACGACTTGTACGTCTAGATAAATAATTTCCCGCTAAAAGTTCTCCTCCCTTTCCACTGAAATATGCAAACACGAGCTAGTTTTTATCACTTCGAGGATTAGACGAACTAGGTTAAAAAGTTTTAGCAATTTCAGTCTTAACGGCTTAATATTTGTTCACCCACGCCATAAAAATTTTACCACACTCGAATTTAGTTAAAATGTCTGCCGTAACTGTAAGGCTTTGTTGATTCAAATTGATGACTCCAGTCGAGGCGATTCATGTTTAACCGCTCCTTTATTGATCTTTATTTGCTGAATCTAAGTGTAACCACTAACCCGTGTTTTTATTACTGCAAGGATTAGACGAAGTAGGTTAAAATGTTTTAGCGATATTAATTTTGCCAGTAAGAGGGTTCAGCTTTAAGCCATAACGGTTTTACCATATTGGACTTCAGTTAAAATGCTTCTGTGATTATTGAGACTTTGTTGATTCAAATTGATTACTTCAATCGAGGTGATTTCACGAGCTGACGTAAAGTTATATCGTTCCTTTTTCATTCTTTATTTGCTAAATCTAACCGTTTGTTTAACCTCTAAGCCATTTCACCCCTGCTGTTATTCTGACAACTCAGTTACAATTTACGACTGGGCTAAGCTTACATAGGTACGTTGTTATTCTCATAAAGGAAGACAAGTCACCTACCAAACCGATTTCCATTCACAGTTTTTGCATTTGGGAGGATAATGTGGAGCAAAATGAAGATAACGGTCGCCGTTAGGTAAACACAGTGGAACCGCATTGCTCCACCAAACCGCTGAAGCACCAGTTCATTACACCTCAATTAAATTTCGTGATTTCTGCAGAAAAAAACAACTCTATTACCAAAGCGTTCGAAGTTACAAGGATTCTGAGATAAGAACGGCGCGTTTCCGAAATGCATTGCGGAAAACGCCCAGACAAAAACATAGAAATATATCATTATTGTATTTAACGGTCGAGTAAACTTTCTATTTTATTTTCCTGACTACCTGCTCTGTATGAACAATGAATAAAACAGTCGATCCAATGGGGGTACACTTATATCCAAAACAAAATTCCAGAACTAATCTTAAGTTTCATTCAGGAGTTTTTAACAAGCAGAAATACATAATTTCAACAAAATTTAAAAAAGGACTGCAAAATCCTCTTTATACATGGCTATGGAGAAAGAACCGAACTAAATCTCTCGACCAAAAATGCAACCAAATTGGATTTCATTAATATAACGGTGGGTTAAACTCAGATTGAAATAATTATAATTCTACCGGCAGAATTGTTTCCTTTTGATGTTTACCCAACTGTGAGGTTCTTTAACACATTTTTCGATTCCAAGCAAAATACCAGCGGCAAAAATCTATTGCAAAATGTCTGTGGTTCTCACCACACTATAATTAAAAAACCTCTTGTAAAAGTTAGATTATTGAAGTTGTAATAAATACTAACAAAATCCATAGTAAGAGAAGACTGGGAACGAATGCCCGAACTAACGAACAACCGGCCGACCAACTCCTCAACAAACGAACCAACGGACCAACGAACGAACCGATCAACAAAGCAACCAACCAACCATCATTAGATATTTCAGAGAGCTAGGAATTTTTTCTCAGCTTCAGAGGGACTCCGTTAATTCGACCACCATGGCAACGATCCACTAAAATATGGTGCTCTTGAGAGGGGGTGGGAGTGGTTTCCTGAATGGCGTAAATGACGAAGAGAAATGTGTTATAATAAAGTGTATTATCGTTCGTCTCACGATGTAGTCACTTGAGATGTAGATCGCGACGTTTCGACTGCTTACTGCTAGTCTTCTTCAGACGATAAGG